AAAAAAATAAAATATTTGAGTTGATAATTAGCAAGTGCCACTCCCATAAGTTCAAATTATTTCTTACTGAAAGCAATTTAAAAAAAAAAAAAATAATCATGGAAACCACCAGAACTGAAAGTCAAAAACTGCTCTGGATCAAACTGGTGACTCAGCATACTGAATGGCTTATAAAACTTCATTAGGAATGTGGGCTGGTACTTCCTTTAAAAGAGTCTCTCTTAATAATTGATTTTTGGCCACTCTTTCTCTTTTCTTACCATCCACAGCTATGAACTGGCCTTCAACACACAGAGGCAATACAGTAGCTGCCAACATTTGTAAGTAATTATAGGGAGGTTTTACAAGGGGAAGATGGACAGTCCTTAACTTACACCAAAGTGCCACAGTCTCAGTGAACCGATAGAAAAAAACAACCAAACTCTCCAGAGAGTTTTGGAAGCAAAGCCATTACATTTTTGCCTGGAAGCATGGTTTAACATCAAAGTCTCACTACACACGTGATAGAGAGCAACATAAGACACGTTACTGAGGCCAGGCAAGCTGAAAAATCAAAACATGCTGGTTGGTTCCTCAAACAGAAAAAGGATCAGGGACAGAGAAGACAGCAGTGACAATGCAGCTGCAGTGCTGTGCAGAGGGTGCTCAGACAGCAAGTAGGGACTTGGCAGCACAGTTCCTCTTCAGAACAATTCCAAAGCAGCAGCCTCACAGGAGCAGTACCAGCAAAAGTACTCAGTCCCCATTTCTTTAATTGCATATAAACACATGTACTGAACCATATGCTCTTTTTACTACAAGACATAATACAAGTAATCAAACTCTATCACCTTTGTTAATCCTATAAAGTGCTTTGGATTAAAAAATTGCTCCCTCATAACAAGACAAAGTGCTACTCAGGACAACAGAAGTATAAACCCCATTAGGTAGCCACCCTAAGCACCTTTCACACCCAGCAGAGGAGATAGGCTTACAGCCAATGCAATTCACAGCACTAGGCTTCCTAAGGTAGGCACTTGCATTTGCTCAAATATGCCTGGCCTCTCAATCAGCTAGAGGGTTCTCACTCACTGAAACAGATGCCTAGACAGCTTGCTCAGGTATTGAAACAGCTAAGCAATAAGGTTCCTACCCAAGATGACAGAATCCATCACCAGTAACACCTGCTTGTACAAAGGAAATGAAATTGATTCAACTAATTAATGAAAGATCACTATCATATTTTGAAGTCACACCAAGTAATTCTGAGAAACTCAACCTACTTAACCAATGTGAAGAGTAAGCTGTATGTCCACCACTGCAAATACTAGTTATGCAGCTTCTCCACCAGTTAACGTATTTTAAACACATGTGCACACTCATTTCCTGCTTTACACATCTTCATGTTCACTAAAAATAACCATCATTTTACAGTTCTCTCAATTTATCAAAATCAAAACCACAGCATCACTGCTTAGGAAATTTTAGTAGTCTTAAATTTGTTTTCAGTTTGCCAAGTCTGTGTTACACTTCCCTGTAACTGATCAAGGCGACAGATGTGAGATCCTGGGGTATGACTAAAACTGACAGAGTTTGCATGTGACAGAGCTGAATTGCACTCTATAAAGAATTTCCCCATTTGAGTTACTCTCCAATTTTAAGAAAAAGTCTGATCACTCATAATGTTTAAACAAGCAAAGCAACAGACAATATAATTATTTGTTCTACCTAGACTTCACAAATCAAAAACACCAGCATAATAATGCATTTCCACAAAGATGGTTTTTACAACATGACTAAATATTGAGCCAGCATAAAGAGAAGAGTGCGAAAACACAAGGATAATACCAATGAAAATACAGCAAGTGTCATTTTGGAGATCCAGTCAGTCTTATGATCTTATTTTATTCTTAAGTAACAGAAAATTCTCAAATTAGAAAAAAATCCTCTTCTCACTTTAAAGTGCAGAAAAATGACTGAAACAGTTGCACTATATATTCAATTATAAAGTGCTGCAATAAGAACATAGAAATATTTAACGTATATCAGGTGACCTTAACATCAAATACATGAAGCAAAACCCCATGGTTGTAAGTTTTCAGTCTCTGATCAGCTGCAAACATAACTGTTCTCCTAAAATGGATTAGCAAGGGCATAAAGCAAAATTTAACTCTCAGTCTTCATAACTTCCTTGCCCTCACATGTCAAGAACAATTCTCCAACTTTATTTTGCCTGCAGATCAACAGCCACAGAGTACCACTGCTCTTCAAAGGTCAGCCAGATTCTGGAACAGCTTCCAGTATCATTGAAAACACTGAGGGGAAAAAAATTACTCGTTAGCAAAGAATCTGTAAAGGTCTGCTGATAACAGACCAGACCAGTAACAGCCAAATGAGCACCAGCAAAAAGCCTCTCAGCAGTACCTTCTTAAGTATTCCCATGCAACACAGTCACCTCAAAAACACACATAAAAGGTGGAAGAATATAATATTTTGCATGCAGGCCTGAAGAGTTCTGTGTCCCTTTTACACTGTTTATTTTGTAGTATTTTAATGGTATTTAATTTCAGAGGCAAACAGCATGCTCAATTTTGGCAGGAATACATTGACAGACTATTACTGTGTAATCATGGAAAGAATTACACTGACATCAAAACCACAATTATTTAGCTGTATGAAATCCAGAAAGTGTAGCCAGAAATTTCAGTTTTCAAAACCAAACCTGCTCCACAGTAATGTTTATGGTCTTAGAGAGTGGTATCAGCGCTAAAAAAAGGCAAGGACACTGATCCACAGCCGAAGATAGTGCGTCTGTTCCTTATCTTTCCAAAAGAGAAATCTCAATTAAAGGGAAGCTATGGGTCATCGCCAGTATCACTGATTAAGCCTAGCCATTGCTAATGCACCTAAACAGTCTGTATGCACCAAACATTAGGAAAAAAATAGACCAAATAATCACCCCACTACAGTGTGCCTGCAACTTGATAAGTAGCAACTTAAATGGTCAGATATTGCTACCCAGTTCCAGAATAGCACCAGCAGAAGTTTACAGGTAAGATCTAGAGTAGCAGTCAGGAAGGACTGCAGCATATCAAACTAGAAGCATTAAAATAGGAACAGTCAGGAGTATTTCCTGCTTGACTTAGGGTTTTATGTTCTGCAAGACATATATACCAATCTATATGCCTTGGGAAGGGCTTATTTCCATTCATAAAGTGGTAAATATCCTTAAGCTACTTCTGGCATGGGTTCAGACATCATAGGATACAAACAAAAGAACTGTTTACTGTCTTCTAAACTGGGAGTTGGATGGGTTAAGGCTTCCACTTCAGTATGGAGACATGTTACCTCAAGCTGCCTATGAATACACAAGAATAGTTACAGGATACCTGACAGCATAACCAAGAGCCAAGAGGCACATATGTAATGGCTATGCAGGTATCAGATGTGCAGCAGAAACGAGACATCTTCTCATTATAGCAAAAGCACTCGGACATTTAACGTGGCAAATTTTTTCCTTCTGCATTAGAATTCACCACACAGGCTGTAGGAATTCTCCTTTAAGAAGAACTTCCAAGCAGCAGTAAATCGGTCAAATGACAGCTAAAGGAAAGCCCTACAGAAACTTTTCATAAAATTTTACTATATCTTACTAAATTTTATAGTTAGCCAGATTTTTCTAGCATGAGTATATTTTCTTCCTGTTATTTCAAAGGTGTTCAAGCATGGCAAATGCAGCACTAGCTGGTTTATCTGCTTGGAAACTCTTTGCAAAACACCAAGATCTATGGCATTCCACAGCCAAGGCAAGTACAACTTTGCAGCTGACATACCTGTTGGATCACTGTGCTTCTGAGCATCACAACAGAGTAGCTGACAATATCACAACACCTAACTGACCAATTTGACTGTACAAGGCAAGCTGTACCATTATTCAATGAAATGGAGTTGTTTCAGGGTACAGTATCAAATGGTCCTGAATGGTAGTTATTACAGAACTAACTGCAACCAGATCAAAGTCATGTTAGACTTAATTTGATTACTGCCAGATGACACTGTTGAGTTACAAATCAAACTTCAGGTTTCCCATTAAAAAATAATAAAAAAGAAGAGGAAAGGAGACTTCAACAGGAAATACTCCTGAAGAAGGAAGCTCGCCTTAGGTACACTGCTTTGTGCATATTTGTGACTAAAGAAAAATTGTTACAACATTTACACTGAGGAAGTTCAGTTGCTTAACACCACATGTAAAAAGCATGGGTGATACAAGATAAGCCAGTTTACATCAACTTGTTTGGCAGGCTTTACAAAAGGTTCATTGTGGATTTAGATTGCAAAGCCTGTGCACACCCAGAAAGGAACAAGCTATAAGGACTTTCCAGTAATAATAACAGGCAACAGGAGAGAATTCCACTCTTTCACCTCACCTTCTACAGTTTTGCTTAATTGAAAGTTTTGGACTTAACTGCATCCCCAATCCATATACATATGATCCAAAGGAATTCCTCAGCTGAGGTTCTGGGGGGAAAATAAAAAAATCAGTGGACTCATATGAAAGAGGCAGGAGGTAGCAAAAATAATAAAGAAAAAGAACTTTTATTTTGCTCACTTGGCCAAAAAGCAACCAAAGTAGCAAGAGATTTAGAGCAAGAGAGAGCATATACCCGTCAAAGAGGAAATTGGACATCTACCACGCTGACGACCTGCTCTTGTGCTTCAAGGAAACCATGCTTTCCAAAATAAACCTGAGTTGTGCTGCAACAGTGTAGGAGAAACTGAGCTGACAAGTTTGTAAGAACAGTTACTTAATCAGGATGCTACTCCAGACCCAGAACTCTCAAGAAGTTGGGATAAAGTTGCTAGAAATTGCCAAGAGAGAGAAAGTACTCCCTGCCCCCCCAAACTAAATTAAAGTATAGGTAAGTGCAAAGAAACTCAGCCTTGGTACTCCTCAAAGACATGAGGTGAGGGCAACAGGAAGCACCACTAGGATGAATACCAGTATCACAAATGCACTGAAAAACCTTTTATTCAACATTTTATTTATTATTTATAGGGATCAGAGTAGTAGCCTTCACAGTATCTCTCACATAGGCCATCAGCAGGATCAAGCACTCCATTTTCCTTGCCCTTCTGCATAGCTATCTATTTTCTAAGAAACTGGCTCCCTTGTGCAGAAAGCTCAACAGTCAAAATGATCTGAAAGAGACAATCAGAGGGGAAAAAAAGACAAAAAGTTAGTGGGAGAAGATGAAGTCATAGGGAAGAGATTTTTACAGGAGTTCTCTATTCAGATTGGGTTGGCTGTACATACACAGAGAAGACAATGCTTCAGTTCTTTAAAACTTTAGGAAAAAAAGAAATACAGATTCTGTCTATGCCAATAGTCACCAATCTTCATTAAATTAAAAAAAAAACAAAACCAACAGATAAAGACTAAGCAAGAAGCATGCTGCTAGCAATAGGATATTCTATTCTTCTTGTCAGTCTGGGCAGCAGTGGCAATAGCACCCCTATCCACAGTATTAGAAACTTTCATAAGAAATGTTGCTTGAAGGAAGTCATCTTCCCAAACCCAGTTTGGTTACCATGTGTCTATCTGTTTCGTATCTTAACACCATTAACGTGAACTTTAATATTTTATTTTTCCTGGAATATTTTCACTATTTTATCTACTTTCACAGCAGGTACACATCATAGTATACAGTACCTTATAATTCCCTTGCTGTTCACAATGGTTTTTGATCCATATCCTGTATATATTGTGTTCAAACACAAAGGAATCAGATTGACTGCACTGGTCTTTGAGTTAAAAGCCTGCTAGCTGAGCCAGGCTACCAGAACTTCCCTCTCTAGTATACAGCTAAAGAATAGACTTAATTGGCAGTCACAAACACTGAGCAAAGCTGTACAAAGACGGAAGTTAATACATCAAGACACACATGAACTAATCCTGTATCAGTGATACTTTTTATCATTAATATCTTCTAGCTTACTTACGTTCAAACGCCAACAGTAACTGCACAGTTCTGAAAGGCAACGGAATACAGCTGGGCTCACCTGGGCAGGCACAGACCAGCCAAAGTCCCAGACTCCCAGTTCTCAGAGAAGACAAAAGTCCCATCAGTCTGCAAATGTTGTAGAGTATAAAACACATATGAAAGAGTAAGGCATTGAACCATGTATTTATAGATTGCTATTAATGCACTAGTTGAATTAGACTATCTGGTAGCCCTCCTCTCTTCAATAGGGAGTCAAAGCAACCAAAATTCAGGCATCTTTCTGCAAATAGGACCTCTGTTTTCAGGTAATATTCTAGTCTCCCATTTCAGTATTTGTTATACCCCTTTTCAACGAAATACCTTTTCCTCAAGAGTTTTGGATAAAAGTCAACAGCAACACTTCTTATTTCTATCCTGTAAAAGGAAAAGACCTGGAATTATGTTTTAGGCGAGTTTAGGTTTCAGAGCCACTATTCATTTGTTGCAAAGTTTTCAAAAAGCCACTTATGCCATCTTGTCACAAACTGCAGGTGTTCAACTTCCAATACTGTGGAAGAAACGCAGAATGATACAAGTTTACGTTGAAAGGGATCTCTGTGGATCACCCAGTTCAAGACAGGGTCAACTAGTGCAGATTGCTCAGGGCCATGTCCACTTTAGTTTTGGATACCTCCAGGGACAGATACTCAACTTCTCCAGGCAGTTTCTTCCAGTGCTTGGTCCCCCTCGTCATTTACAACAACACAATCAAAAAAAAACCAACCCCAAACAATACACACCCTCTCAAGTTTAAATGAAGTTTCTTGTAGTTCAGTTTGTGCCCAAGTTAAGTGTTCATAAATCTCTGTATCCTCAAACTATGATAAGGATGTTCAACACACCTGAAATTCTCACTCAAGACAACTGCTGGCTACTCAGAGACAAAGCGAGATACAGTACCTGGTTTCAATTAAGACAATATTTGTTTAAATGAAAAGGCAACAATACTAATATTTAGCCTTAGCCAGAAGGCTATTTGTTTTAATAAAAGGCAGCAATACTAATATTTAGGTTTAGTCAGTGTCAGTAAAAATTGTCCTCCTATTTCTATGCAGAAAAGCAATCCTTTCAATTTTATCATTCACCGGGCAAACCAGTGTCCTGTCTCTGGCACAGAAGGCTATAATGTTTCTCTGCATCTGTTTTTCAGGTATATACACATTCCCCAGTGACACAGATTCCCACCTTACCACTTGATCAATACTGAAAGAAGCTTTCAAAAAAGTTTAAACTGTTTCCTTTACAACTCTTCTCCAAGAAACAAATTTATTTTAGCCACAACGTATTAAAGAGTTTTACAGCCACACTCCATATCACCTATTTGTTTCTTTTTTTTTTTTTAATACTAGGAAATAAGTAATGTTCTCTTATTATTGGTACTTTGCCCCATGGAGTCTGGTTTCATCTCAACAGCCAAATTTAAAAAAAAAACCAAAACAATTTAACCTCAATTCACAACCACAAATCTTGCTTCCTCAGTATCTTTCCCCTCTCTTTTGATACAGTTAACCTTTTTCAAACTATGAACTGTAACACCTGCCTCAAACTTGCAGTGCACATATATAGGGGTTTGGTGTGTTACAGGAATAGCAAAGGCTGTAAGCAACCGAACTTCCGATACCAGAAAGACAGAGGCAGACCCCAAGCATTACCTACATCACCCAATTGAAAAGAATGTTCTTATATTTCTTCATGCACACTCTTCTGTCAGTTGTATTTTACACTATCTTAGGGTTTGGTTGAACATTCTGAGGTTGCTACCTTAAGTTTTGCCAAAACGAAGTCTTATTTGACAGAACTGCGGGCAAGGGAGCAGAAGCTGGTTCTAATGCAGCTACAGTAAGAACTCTCACAAGGCAGAAATGCAACTGCTTTCTTTATCTACAATTTGCAATAGCCTCTGGGCATATACTGGCACTGAGCTCTAATGCATTTCTTCATTCAAAACTGAGCTTTGCAAGTGCCTGTTGAATTATCTCAGTCTACAAACTCTTACCTTCCTGTCTCTCCAAGTAAATCAGGACAGAATCAGAGACGACATAGACATTTACTGCTCATAATCCAGGAACTGAGTGGGGAAAATAGAAACATCAACATATAACCTCATCGTTAGGCTCAGACAGATTATTTCTTGGTGTTTCTCCAAGAAGTCAAATATCTAAATGCTTCTACAAGCATCAGTTTTCAGAAAGTCAATCAGACTGATTGCAGTGCAATCAGACATTGTAAAGAGATATTTAAATGCAATTTTAACAGACATTTAGTCATAATGTCTAGAAAACAATGCTGTCAAAAAGTACTGCTTTAGTGGCTTCCAGAAATAAGAGACAAGCCATATTTGCATATCTAGAATTACACTGTTAGTAATACTGGTATTCCAAAACGCCCATTTTTACAGAATAATTCTTCAAGGTACCAAGGTTTGAAAAGTCCAGCACATCTATATTGCATTGTGAAAGCACTCTTCCAAGAAGAGTCACATTTGAGGTTTGTTTTGTTTTGCTTTAATACACACAGCAGGCCTGTTTTATTTGAAATACTTTTCTTTAAATGAAGAAAAAGGTGCTATGCATTATTCACAAGTAGTCTGCCAGCAGACCAATACCTACATGACACTTCAGAAACGTTTCATCCATCTAACCACAGCAACTGGCTCACTCTGTAAGTTATTTAAAAGAAAAAAAAAAAGCAAAGTGTGGTTCATCCCACTGCTGTGGTGTGAGAAAGAAGATAAGGGAAATCTCAATACTGCAAAAGGAGTATATAACACCACTGCCTATGTGCTTAGAGTCTCTTATCAGTAATGCAAGTGGTAGAATGATACCGATTTCCCTGTAACTCCACAGGCGAATGCAGGATTTGTTGAGGTTCATACATCTGCTTTGATTTCATAGAAACCAAGGTTCAGCCCTTGTAGCCAGAATGGTGTTTGAGTCCTGACCATACAATTAAGAAATTTGCTTTCCTTTGTGGCTTCACCATGCATATTGCAAACTCTTCTTTCTACGTGGCCAAAGGTCACAAACTCACTTTCCTATCAGTAACACATTTGCCCTTGCAGATACCTGTCCTTTTAACGTATTGTATCTAGAAGAAAAGCAAGTCACCAGAACTGGTTTTGTTAACTGGTGCAGTAAGCAGGCAAACAGCACATATCTCCAGTCACTCACTATACAGGGGAACTGTGCAGACAGCCCATCCTCTTCTGGCACGCTGTAAGGCCTTATGAATCCCATTAAAAGTCCATTAATCAGAAGTCACAGTTGTACCACATCTCCCTGTTATGTTTCAGTTAAAAGCTGTATCGTCAGTCAATTTCCCCATTATCAAAACATAACCCTACCTGAGCTCAACACTTTCTCCATCATAGAAAGAAAATTCCATCTTTTGTCAGTAGAAAAGATGGACAATCCACATGGTCATGGTTATACAGATGTTCTGAAAAATAATGAGTTGTCTGATTTCAACACTACGATAAAGCACGCTTGCTGTGGCATCATCTTAACCCAGAAAGGGCTGCTACAGTTCAAGCAGCACCTTCCTTGGCCCAGGAGTGCTCTAAGAACAAAAGCACTACTGTACATTTGCCTAAAATTGTCATGGTCCTGTTAGCTCAGTACTTACCTCCCACCTATCCTTGTTTCAGGTACCAGGCCACCACAGGGCCTTAGTTCAGCAAATATTCTCAGAGTACACTAGCCACACATAAACAAAAGTAGGTTCCTTATACAATGCAACTGTGCCAGCTCACCTTTTGCAGTAGCAGAAAGGGCTCAGTTTAAGTAAAGGGAGTTTACCACCTGATTCTGTTCTATATCATCTTCAGTCTGAAGAGATCTAAACCTTTATCTCCCACCTTGAAAGAGCACCACTTTCAAGGAAGAATGTAAAACAAACCAAGTCTCTTTAGCCCCATAGTTGAAGTAACTGCCTGGGAAAGACAAAGCCTGTGCTCTAGCTTCCACTTCAGCATATTTTTACATTTTACACATGGTAATTAACTTTGAAAACATGTGGCACTAGGATTTTCTCCAGGGAGGGGGACATGCAAGTCTGCCTGTTCTCAGATAAACAAAATCCAAGTGTCCCATTTCTGGGTGAGGCCTCTCCAAATAAAACAAAAGCTATTGCGTAAAAATAAAGAAAGGGAGTGGAAGATGGTAAGGAACAAGTACTATGGTTACTTTCTTTAAAGTTCATCTAAGAAAAGAGGGACTAGGATTCCTGGCAGCAGATCTCAAAATTATGGAGAACTACAGAACCCCAGAAGAGGCCACACTCTACATAAAACTTTCATCTTAAGCCAAGAGTTGGCACAGTCCTCACGAAGGAAGCCCACCTCTCTCGCTAACTTTCATGTATCCCAGGCCTTTACTAGCTCTGGGTCTCCACACATTCCAATGCTAAATAATATGTCTTGCAAAGGTTAAGCTGAGAAGGAAGAGCTGCTTTGAAAATAGAGAAAGTAACATAGAGAACACAGTAGTGTAAGAATCACGGTATTGTAGCTACAGGCCTCTAACTTACTACCTTTGATGAAGAGAAATGTACTTCTGTCAACAACCTGGAAGACTTTTCACACAGCACCAAAGTAGTCCTTGGGAAAGCTCTGACTGTGCTCTTGCTAAAAATAAACATCAAGCAAAAGTGTTAGTATACAGAGATCATTAGTTTTTCCTCTTCTCAGTTACAATCTTGTCAGAGAGGTGCTTGGAGGGCTTTCCTCAGCACCGCTATTGGCACACAGCTGCTAACCCATGGGAAAAGTGCACCAAAAAGTGTGGCAAGAACACCTGAGAACAGGCATAATGAGGTGAAACACAAACAGTGGGTGAATGTTCAAAGCATAGTGCAGGTTCTCTTTGATAACAGATGAAAACTGCTATGACACTGTACTGCATCTGGATTTACTCCGTCATAAAAGTCCCAATGGCTCTTCTACTACCAAAAAGAGAGAAAAAAAAAAAAGCAGTGAGAGAGAACGAGCATTGACTAACACTGTCTCAGACTGAAAGAGCAACATCTTCATTTTGACACGTATTTTTTTCGCAATGCTCATGGACTTCTAAACAGCCCACACGAGCACCTCACAGTGGATCTGCAAGCATACCAGGACAAGTCACAGGTGAAGGAGAAGAAGTTCTTCCATGTATGAAGCTGTCACTGATTAAATGCAAGCCATAAAGGAAAAATGCTGTTCCACTAGGATTCCAAAATAAGCATTAATGGTAACTATACATTACTTACTTAACAGGTTATACCAATCACAGGACATGCACCCTTCAAGCAGAAGTCATTCAGTACCAGCACATTCCAAGAGATAAGCAAAGTGAAGGAGAGCAAACTTTTCCAGGTAGTGTGCAGTATCTACATTGCAAATAGGGTGTTCCTCAAATATGACTAAGTGTGTCCAGGACAACTTTCATTTAGCACCCACTTGCCAGCAAACATAGGGCAATGTGTGCACAAACAATCCAACCATCTAAGCTACCTGTTGGAAAAGTAGCAGCACAAGCCACAAACTGCATATATCAACCCTCCTGCATGTCTCACCAGGTTGAAACTCACCATCAGCACATCTTTTTTCACCAAACAGAAGGTGCTCCAAGGGAAACTGATTTCTTTTTCTTTCCATGTCACCTTTCTCCTGCACCTTCTGCTCAAAGCACCAGGACTCTGAAAGCATCATTATCCCTATAAGTAATATAGCCAAAAAAACTAGAAACTGCAATGAACATACATGAATAAAAACCAAGTAGCCTGGGGGATGCTTTTGTCATCCATTCAGATTTGGCTATAAAGGAGGTACTGACTGTAAATGCACGGCTGTCCAGTGTGTCAAAGCGAGAGACAGCAGACAAAACAAGTCTGCTGGGAACAAATCCGACGACAGGATGTCTCACATTTGCACTGCTACCTTCCCCACTGCAGACCATCAGGAGTAAGAGTCCCAAAACTGGCTCCTTATACTGCCTTTTCTAGGTGTGGCTGCTTTCTCAGTGATGCTCCCTTCACACTTCATCTCAGTACAGGTTTAGCTGATTTCTCAGGAAATCCTGGTACAGGTTACTATACAACAGTCCAAATCCGAGACATAAAAGCACTGCGCCTCCCCGCCTCGCACACACCGGCTGAAGAACACTCCGCACTCCGGGGGCAAACAAGCACTACCCACGTGGCTGTGTGTCCGCCCCTGACCCTGCTGAGGGCTGTCAGGGGGAGCTCCAGACCGGCGCGGACTGTGCGGGGAAGCGGGCACCGGGCACGGTGCTGGAAACGCACCCGCGGGGATGCGCCCCAGGAGCCCGGG